CGTTGTTGTGGCTCGACTTACCCTGGTGGAAGAGCAAGACAAGTTTGGAACTTGCATGAATATGCATGCATGTTTAATGCAAACAGAACGCCATCCGAGGGTCAATCACCTTCTCCATCTTCATCTAACTTGTTTTTCCACATGCTTTGATATAATCATGCAGAGACTGTAGAAACACTCACCCTCTCATGCAGAAAAACAAGTGCCTGCAGGAGGTCATAGATGCCTGCACAAATTTCCTCTGGGGAGAGACTGTCTAGCAGTAGCTGCAGGGGCTGCACAGGCTCTGTCACCAGGTGGATGCCACCATTCTGCACTGAGCAGGACAGGAAGCGCAGTAGACGCGGGTGTCGCAGTGTCTTCAGGTGCTGGGTGAAATGTGTGGATGATTAAGCAGGTGTAAGAATTGCAAATAATTAGTAGTTTAAATTACCCGTCAGTTAAGACACAATAAAACTCATACTTTCACTTATTTAATTCTAGTCACAACAGAGAATACTGAAGTTGGAGGGGGCTCTTCCACTAAGCAAAACCATGTTAATTTTTTTCTTAATTAAAATGTTACATCCACATTACACACTTGTGTGTACAGCTCAACTTCACACACAATCACACGTGATGCATTAATTCGCTTTTTTAAAGAACTTTTTTTCTACAGAGTTTTAGAAAATACAGAAAACCGACTGCAGAAGTTTGGTAAAAATGTCTCAACGCTGCAGCGGTACTTTGTGTCCAACATGATCATGGCAGCGTGCTGGCTGCACACTTCCATGCATAACGCACACGGCAAAGACGAGCAGCGACATCTGGAAATTACACACCTTGGCAGCTTTGTTGACTTTGTCTTCATTGCCACGTTTGTGAACAAACACAGAAGCCTGCTTTCCATCCTGGAGCACCGCCGAGTACATGGTGGGTCCGGTGGGCAGAGTCAGGAGCGGCTCCTCCAGGGTGCAGCTCCGCACCGCGCTGCTCTCCGCACCCATGACCGCGGTCGTTCTTTATGAGCAGCCACTCAGGTCATAAACTAAGCAAGCCAGGCGTGATACGTGGCAGTGCGAGTGCCTGTCAGTAAAGAAACAGACACGAGTACTTGTTATAGAGTTAAGTTGACATACCGGTACCTGTTTCAGTAAACTGGATGCACCACTTAGTGACAAGTTAGCTAGCGTCAGTTGCCTAGCAGGCTAACCTTAGCGCTACGTTAGCAAGCTTGTCATTGCTGCCCTTGTCGGTAGCTTTTCCGCCTCCAAACAACCATGCCAGTCGAAGTGTACCACAGATTAATTCAACGAGTTTTGCGAACTGCTTTAAAAGTTAAAAAAAAAAAAAAAAATCCCGTCTCCTTCTTGTCAAATCACCGATGCTAACGTGGAGCAAGAGCTGTGCTGTAAACAAGGACCTTTCCGGTAAAAGACGAAACCACAGAGGAGGGGTTGGTACTTACTTGTAATTACTCACTTGGTTGAATAACTTAATGTTTTTCAACTTTATTTTCAACAGATACGGGTTTCAAATCCCTTCATCATAAAATAATTCGTTAATAGGTTTATTTGTTGTTGATACATTGATACAAAAGAACAAACACCCCTCCCCGTAAGCTAATGGTTGCGACTAAAGTGGTGCGAGATAACGCAAGTAATCAGCGGAGAGTTGAGCGCCATATGGTGAGTGAAGTGAAAATAGAAACTGTCACTATCTGTTTTAATGAAACTCTGAAAAGCACACGGTTTCATTCACAGCAAAAGCGGGTGTGCTGTCCATAATGTTAGGGTAACACATAGGTATAAAAGTTAAAATTACCTTAAGTCTTAAGTGTATATTTATTTTCTTATTCCTTATATATATTTTTGTTAGGTTTTTTTTTTTGCACTCATGTAACCGGAGCCTCGTCACTGGATATAGCGGAGATGACAATAAAGTTTACTTTGACTAAAAAGCTGTCAAAGCATAGTTTCATAGTTCAGTCCCGTTTATTATAATGATGATATGCATAATATACGAGACTCCCAAACACAGCTAGGTTAAATAAAATAAACCATATAAACACTACCAGTTCACGTAAAGCCATCATTGGATGTTAAATATAAAAATTTGCATTCCAAACTTTATTTCTATGTTAGTGGGGTTCTTAAAAATATATATATTTCTGATATGCTTTACATTGCTTGTTAATTAAAACTGCTTCCATCTTTACCACCACCACCATTACTGGATTTTTGGAATTAATACTAAAGGCTGCAGGGTTGTGTTGTGGTTACCAATGTCACCTTACAGCAAGAACGTGTTGGTTTCAAATGTTCTCCCTGTGTCCTCTGGCTTCCCTAAGCAATCCGAAAACATGTATGCATATGAGAGAGTGAACTGTTGTCTGTCCCTCTGACAGACTGGTGACCTGTCCAGGCTGTATCCTGTCTCTCATCCTATGTCAGCTGACATATGATCTAGCCTCACCGTGACAGCAAATTGCACAAGTCAAAGTGGAGGTGTGAAGTAACAAAGTACAAATATTTGTTACTGTAAGTATGTAGCCTTTTCAGGTATATGTACTTTACATAAGTATTAATTTTTTTAACAACTTCTTACTTTTACTACCTATATTTTTAACCAAATGTCTGTACTTTCTACTCCTTACACTTTCAAAACAGACTCGGTACTTTTGGTTTAAGACATTTGAGGGGAGTTCTTTTTTTTTCATGTCAGTGCGCATCTTCAAGCATCAAACTTTCAAAATTTGAGCCTCAACAGCAACACATGAAAGGCAATCTTACTCGTGTATTATTTACAACGATATGTCACATAAAAAGAGACGAAAGAGACCATAATCAGGGGTTAAAATGCCAAAAGGTGATTGCCTGCCAAAAACTGATTTCCGGTATTTGCTAAAAAGTGATTGCCTGTATTTAAAGTGCCATAAATAACTTGTTGGCCTATAATATCTAAAACATATGTCAAATGTATCCCTCATGAACGATATCAAGTCATCTTAGCCACAAACAACATTCCTATCTCAACGTAGAAGCCGCAATCAATTTTTTGGCAAAGTGACTTTTATATATCCTTTATTTATCCAGTTAAAAAGTTTAATTCACATTAACAAATGTCTTTTTAGGAGTAATCTGGCCAAGAAGACAGCAGGAATTGCAACAAATATAACAATAATTCTATAAAGATACTTCCAAAATGGACTGGATTGGTTACAATGTAGATACAGTAACCCAGAGTCTTAAAGATACTTGAAAAACATGTATTTTTTTTAATTCTATAAATAACCCCTTTGTAAATCCTGTTCACTAAAGTCTATTGACCAATATAAGTAAAGACATGACACATAAAAAATACCCCATCTAAACATTGGAAATCAATTTTTGGCAGATAACCACTTTTCGGCACAACACAGGAACGGGTGCACATGTCCGTAAGTTGCAGTTGCTGTACTTCAGCATCTAGCTAGCACTACAGAAGAGGACCAAGAGAAGCATAAAAGGAGTGCTATTTTTTAAGTAGCAGGTAATTTCAAACGCAACGTTTTTGTCACCTCAACAAATGTCATCAAACACACAAACTGTTTGTGTGTGCAGTTTGTCACACTGTGTGCTAGCTAAAGAAAGGTAGAGCTGCTGTGAAGATGTTAATTTTACTCAGAGATGGAGAGAGATAAAGACAGGGCAGGAGAGGAAGAAGAGAGGTTATATTTTTATGGTGTTTGATAAACTGGAAAT